AAAAGAAGACATCCATACAGACAACAGACACATGAAAAAATGCTCATCATCACTGGCCATCAGAGAAATGCAAATCAAAACCACAATGGGATACCATCTCACACCAGTTAGAATGGCAATCATCAAAAAGTCAGGAAACAACAGGTGCTGGAGAGGATGTGGAGAAATAGGAACACTTTTACACTGTTGGTGGAATTGTAAACTAGTTCAACCATTATGGAAAACAGTATGGCGATTCCTCAAGGATCTAGAACTAGATGTACCATATGACCCAGCCATCCCATTACTGGGTATATACCCAAAGGATTATAAATCATGCTGCTATAAAGACACATGCACACGTATGTTTATTGCGGCACTATTCACAATAGCAAAGACTTGGAATCAACCCAAATGTCCATCAGTGACAGACTGGATTCAGAAAATGTGGCACATATACACCATGGAATACTATGCAGCCATAAAAAAGGATGAGTTTGTGTCCTTTGTAGGGACATGGATGCAGCTGGAAACCATCATACTCAGCAAACTATGGCAAGAACAGAAAACCAAACACCGCATGTTCTCAATCATAGGTGGGAACTGAACAATGAGATCACTTGGACTCGGAAAGGGGAACATCACACACCGGGGCCTATTAATGGGGGGAGGGGACGGGGAAGGATTGCATTGGGAGTTATACCTGTTATAAATGACGAGTTGATGGGTGCTGACGAATTGATGGGTGCAGCACAGCAACATGGCACAAGTATACATATGTAACAAACCTGCACGTTATGCACATGTACCCTAGAACTTGAAGTATAATAATAATAATTTTAAAAATAACATAAAAATAACAAAATCATATTGAAACAATACCTTTTTCACAAAAATACCGGTGATACATTATAAGACAGGACTAAGAAACTGATCAGACTATGTGAATATGTACCAATAATAATTGCTTCTGTTATTTGAAAATTTTTAGTAATCAGTATAAATAACATTTTGCTTTAATATACACAGATGGATGTTATCTTTGTTTTTTAAATAAAGCATTTTACTTTTGACAATGAAAAAAATAAAAAAATTTTTTTTAAATTAAAAAAAAAACAAATTATATAACAAGACTAAAGTAATGGAAACAGGATAGGACTAGTCTAAAAACAGGCATATAGATCAGTGGAACAGAATAAAAGATCCAGAAATGAAGTGACATATTTGCAGGCAATTGATCTTTGACAATGCAGATAAGAACTCACACTTGGGAAACAGCACACATTTCAATAAATGATGCTGAGGAAATTGGATGGCCATATGCAGAAGAATGAACCTGGAACCCTATCTCTCACATCTCTCATATAGAAAAATAACTCAGGATGGATTAAAGACTTAAATGTAGAACCTGGGCATATATTAATGCAAGAAGAAAACTGCTGGACATTGGCTGAGGAAAGAACTTATGGCTAAGACGTGGAAATCACAGGCAGCAAATACCGAATTGCACAAATAGCACTTAATTTATCTAAAATATTCTACAAACAAAATAAATCAACAGTGTCAACAGACAACCTGCAGAGGGAAAATGTTTCTAAACTATGCATCCTACAGGGAACTAATATGCAGAGTATACAAGGAACTCAAACTACTCAACAGCAACAACAAAAACCAGTTAAAATAGACAAAGGACATGAATAGATGTGTTTCAAAAGAAGACAACAAATGGACAACAGTGAACGAAAACATGTTCAACATCCGTAACCATCAGAGTAATGTGAATGAAAACCACAATGAGATATCATCTTACCTTAGTCAGAATGACTGACAATAAAAGGGTGAAAAATAACAGCTGTTGGCAAGGATGTGGAGAAAGCAGAACTCTTATACACCCTTGGTGGGAATGTAAATTAGTACAGCTTCTATGGAAAACAGTATGATTTCTCAAAGAACTAAAGCTAGAACTACATTTCCGTTGAGCAATCCTACTACTGGGTATCTCCTCAAAGGAAAAGTAGTCAATGTATCAAATATATACCTTTATCTGTATGTTTACTGTAGCAACATTCACAGTAAAAAAGATATTGAATCAACAATGTATCCGTCAATGAATGATTGGATTAAAACTGCAATCATATATATACAATACCACACTACTCAGTCAGAAAGACAGAATGAAATGACACATATTGTGACAATATGCATGGAAATGGGAGTCATTCTCTTAAGCAAAACGGGCTAGATATAGAAAATCAAATATAATGTGTTCTCACTGGTAAGTGGTTGCTAAAGAATATGTTTACATGGACGTAGAGAGTGAAATGATAGACAATGAATACTTGGGAGTATGGGAGGCAGAGGGATTGTATAGTGAGGTATTAATAAATGCAGTGTTTGTTATTTGAGCGTTGAATGCCGTAATGCCGTGATGTAAGCACTACATAATCTGAGTAACAAAATCAAACTTTTATTTCTGCAATATATTTATTTTCATTAACAGAAAATCTAAGCATAATGCTTCTGTATCCTGCCATAAAAAGAAGACAATGACCAGTGTGGCCATAGCAGAATGAATTAGGTGTAGAACATCCCCCAATTCCACAGAGAGTTAGGGGGCAATACATAGCACTTTAGCATAGGTAAAAATTAGCAGCTGGGCACAGTGGCTAACATCTGTAATCTCAGCACTTTGGGAGTATGAGGGAGGCGCTTCACAAGGTCAGGAGTTTGAGACAAACCTGGCCAACTTCGTGAAACCCCAACTCCACTAAAAATGCAAAAGAAAATTTGCTGGCTGTGGTAGCACACACCTGTAATCCCAGCTGCACGGGAGGCTGAGGCAGTAGAATCCCTTGAACCTAGGAGGCAGAGGTTGCAGCGAGCTGAGAACCTGCCACTGCACTCCAGCCTGGGAAACAGAGCAAGACTCTGTCTCAAAAAAAAAAAAAAAAAATAGCATCTGGTTTTTACAGAGTAAAAGTGCTAGCAATCAACTCAAAAACATAGAAAAGTAATATAATTTTTATATGGCAAAGGTGGGTAATTGACTGTTGGGAAACAAATAGAACTATTTGGTGTAAACTGCAAATGAGGCTTGCTTAGATGGACTGATAGAGATGAGAGTAATGAAACAGGCTGCAGTAGGACATTATTGTGCAGCTTGAACTTCACAATGAAAACATAGCTTATTTGACAAGATGTAATGTGATGAAAGAGGAAAAGAGAAGAGTCAAGAAAAAAATCCTAGTTTGCTAATTAATTAGATGAATTCTTTATCAAGACAAAAAAGAGTTGGAAGAGGAAGAACTTTCTGGCTGTAGGAGGGAAGAGGCAGAGGTAGGAGAAACCCTGGAGAGAGGAGGAGGTTCCTGGAAAGATTGACAGAGTGTTCCCAAAAGAAGGGTAGGATCAATGGTGTTAAACTGCCAAGGGGTCAAGGAGATGCAGGACTGAGAATTGACTACTAAATGAGTGGAATGGAGGCAACACATGACCTTCACAGACTGGAAGTGGAAAGAATAAAGGCATCTATAATGTGTGCATAAGAAAACATTGGAAGTGGGGGAATGAGGAAATAATCACATACATAAGTTTCAAGAACTTTTGCAATAAAAATGGCAGACAAATAATATGGTAGGAAAGAAGCACTAAGTCTTAGGAAGGCTTCTGTAGAAATGGGTGATGTTTCAGCAGGCTTTGGCTGATTGAAATAATCCCATAGAGCATAGATGTAAGAATCAGGGACAAAAGGGTCACATGCAGAAGCAAAATCCTTGATTGGGCAATGTGGTTCAGAATCAAGTGGGAAGTTAAGAGATAGGAGTAGGAAGGCTTCACCTGTGATAATATGAGAGAAGCCAGAGATCTGGGCTTCAGCTGAATGTGGGTTGCTCAACTTACTGGTGGTTATGGTGAGATCATTCTGTTCTGATTTTTCTGACTTTTTAGTGAATTATCTGAGGTTATCAGTGGGCACAAAGGCAGTTTCTAATATTCAACCTTCCTTGCTTGAGAAGCAGATATGCCAGTATCTGCTAGGTTTTTGGTATGGATGTTATCTCATTAGCCTCCATACTCTAAGGTAGTTGTTATGATTATTCCCACTTTAGATGAGTAAATTGAAGCCCAGAGAGTCTAAGTTTCCTTTTAAGAGTCAAGAGATAGTAAGAGCAAGAGTTAGGTCTCCATTAAAATCTGAGAGTGTCCAAATTCTTTGCTCCTTTAAATCATGCTGCCTCTTTAATGAAATCCATTCAGGTTTCAATAAAGAATGGTGAGAAACATAGGAAGGGAGAGAAGTGATCACTGTTAAAATAGGGTAAATGGGAGAGAAGGTTGTGGTGTTCAGAAACGTAGAATCATATTCATTCCCTTGAAACTGAACTCAGTTTCTTAGAAATTATAATGATTTCTTTCAGCTTCTGTGACTTGTTTGCATATGTTGTGTTTTTTTGTCCTTAAGATTTCTGGAATATCAGTAAACAATCTGAAAATAATTTTAAAATTTCTATTTGTGCTATAGAAGTCAGGGAAGGGTGAGGCAAGGTGGCTCACACCTATAATCCCAGCAGTTTCAGAGGGTAAAGCAGGTGGATCGCCTGAGGTCAGGAGATGGAGACCAGCCTGGCTAACAGGCTGAAACCTCATTTCTACTGAAAATACAAAAATTAACCATGCATGATGGTGGGCACCTATAACCTCAGATACTTGGAAGGCTGAGGCAGTAGAATAGCTTGAAGCCAGGAGATGCAAGGGGCAGTGGGCCAAGATTGTGACACTGCACTCCAGCCTGGGTGAAAAAAACTCCATATCAGGTGGGGTGGTGGGGGGGAATAATTGAAAACAGGGAAGTAGAGAAACAGTAAAACCTTTTTTCATGGCAGCTGGCTAAATTAGGATTACGCAGGAGGGAAGCTTCCTGGAGCATCAAGGAGAAGGGTTCCTAGATGTTCTTAGAATGTCTTCTTGGTCCTCATATCCCACATTCACAAACATTGAGAAACAGACACCACAATCAGAAATTGCAAGCTGATTATTTTATTGGTATATTGAAGTTAGAGCTACGACCACCTTCGTCCAATTTCATGGCATTTGAATCATTTGAATCACTGTCATCTTCTTTTTCACTTCCTGAAACAAACAGACAAGGTCGTTCATAGACCAGATTTGACATGGCAGGAACTGTCTAATTCCTCCCTGGAGTTACTGCAGTAGAGTACATGAGAGCCCATCCCCTCTCTCCCCATCCCTTCTACCTCCTGTGTTACCTTCCTAAGTTTTTGTGTGCTCCCTCTTTTGATGCCCTTCCCTTGCACAAAATGTGATCCAAATATTTCCTTATGTGATGAAGAGATAAGACCAATCATAGCTTGTTATTACTTGCTGCTGAGTTTGTTCAGGGATATATTTACACGGATGGTAACTGGAACACATTCTATAACAGTGAGAAGCTGAAACTACCCTCACTGTCAAGTGACAGGGATTGGTTAAAGAAATCACAGTGTAGCCACATAATGGAGTAGTATAAAATTGTAAAAACAAACAGATAACCACTGAAGAGATCTACTGAGCTTCATAAACTCATGTGGAAATGTTGAAAGAAATGTATGGCATGAATACTGGACTAGAGAGGCTGGAGTGAGGCAGGACAGAGCAAACAGTGGTCAGGTGAAAATTCTAAGTGGGAGGTCTCTAAGTGTGTGCACAGAAAACAGTGTCAGAGCGAACATGGTACTACTTCCTTGTTACCAATACCATTTAAAACAGATTATTAGGAATATTGCTTCTCAACATCAGAATTCCTTCAAGAGCTTGTTACAAATACAGGGCCTTGTTACCCATTTCCAGAATATCTGAACACAAATCTTTAGAAATGGGTTCTACAACAGAAGAATGACAATGCATTTTTAGTTGATTCTTTGGCACAGTAAAGCTGGAGACCTGTAGCAATTAGAGCATTTGATGAAGAATCAACTGGAATCATACCAGTCACTGAATCCTAGATTACTGGGGAGACTGTCCCTGGGGAGGTCCGGCGGGTCTGCCCCCTTGAGGAGGGGATGGTGGTCCCTGGGACCTTCCAGCAGGAGGTGGCTGAGCCTGCTGGGCATTGCCTCCTTGTTGGGGTGGTTCTTGTGGCTTTCCTGGAGGTGGGGGACCTTGAGGTTTGTTGCCTTCTTGTTTGGGTGGTCCTTGTGGCTTTCCTGGAGGTGGGGGACCTTGAGGTTTCTTGCCTCCTTCCTGGGGGGGTCCTTGTGGCTTTCCTGGAGGTGGGGGACCTTGAGGTTTCTTGCCTCCTTGTTGGGATGGTCCTTGTCCATTTCCTGGAGGAGACTGGGGACCTTCGGGCTTCTTGCCTCCTTGCTGGGGTTGTCCTTGTTGATGTTCTGGAGGAGAAAGAGAGAAGAGAAAGACAGAGTAAAAACCCACACAAGATTCACTGAATAGTTGCAGTAAATTTTGATCAGCTAGGGTAAAAAGCTGAGGGGGAAACGCACAAAAATGGGACCAAGACAATAATTTCTTTGCATTTTCGGTGAAGACATAGAACTCTGGAATAGAACGCTGGGGAAGAACAAAGCAGTTGAGAGTCTCTCAGTATAAAGAGGAGTCAGAATGAGGATGCTGCCCATTTGTCTGTCATCTCCCAGCAGGCACTCCTGGTCGAAGAATGAGACAACCCACTCCTGCTGACATCTAAGCCAAACATCTCTGCCATTCAATTTGTGGCCTGCTCACGGTCCCCAGAATCAAGGTTGCAGGAAGATTGCCTCTATTACTAGGAGCACTAATATTCATCAATTCCTGAAAGGTTATTGTTGATAAGAAGACACTGGAGAGCTGATCCATTCATCAGCAGAAAAAGACAGTCAAAACAGATTGAGAATAAATTGGGATTTACCTGATATTAGGGAGGGAGATTCTTCCTGGCCGACATCTAGAAGAGAAGCACAGGACGATCGGAAAAGTTACATCTCGAATCTTTCAAGACTCACAAGTGTTCTACAGGGATAAGGGTCTTCTCACCACACCCCATGCATCTCCTAAGTTAACTCGTCAGCCACTGTCTGTGAAGCTTCTGAAAGGGAGGAAGGTGTAAGGGGAGGCAGGGTTCTTATGACAGAGCAGCAGCCCTGAACTCAACATAGAAGAGCCCCTTTTTTCCCTCCCTAGCATCCTCAGGACTTAATGCTAATTTGGCTTACACATGCCAGGGACTTCAATGTGACATTTTGGAATTCTTATGCCCTCCACCTCCTATAAATACATTGCTTCTGTATGCATGCTTTCTCAATTGGCGTAACCAGAAATAATCATTGCAATACAATCTTACCCATACCACTCCCAGCACACTGAAATACCTCATGTAGGGGAGAGAAAAATGACAGTAATTGGCTCTGATATTTCTGTATCTCTAGTGAGACAGAGACAAGTGTTCCATCCAATTCTCTGTCTCTTCAGAATCTCTGATGTGTATTTATCTCCATCATCGATGCTGATTCACTGCACAGCAAGGACACCATCATCCCTCTGTACTTACTGAGATCAGTATAGGTTGTTCACAGCTGGACTTGCCTGAATCTGCCTTGCATTTTCCACTGCATCCTTCACAGCACAGTCATATCTCTCTATAAATGCAAATCTTACCTTCTCATTCCCCTGGAACAAATTCTTTATTGGATTTCATTGTACGTTAAATAAATTAGAAACCCTTAGTGTGGAATCAGGGTGCAATCGGTCTCCTGATCCCAGGCCTGAAAACTTTGCAGCCCCATCTGGGTTTTCATTCTCTTCTCTTCCCCCTAATTACCATTATCCCCTCCTAAACCCCACGCAGAGTCACTACCTCTTCCCATTCTGTTTTACCTTCATTTAAGTTCTGAGCTGAGCTCAGGGCCAGCAGGGCCACTGATAGCAGAATCAACAGCATCTTGCAGGAGACTCTGGAGTTGCTCCCAACACTGTGCTGGGAGGAACGGGGCAGCTCCCTTTATGAAGAGAAGCAAAACAATGACACCTTTCAGCTCCACACTGCAGGGGCCTCACCATCTCAGAGACTGGGCTCTGCTTTGCTCACTGCAGGTCAGGTGTATCCCTCTAGCCCAGAGGGATGGGTTGGGTCAGATATGTTGTTAGTGTCTTATTTCTAGAGGGTACAACTGTGACTTGAACAATGGTTTTGAAGGGACTGTGTCCAAGCCATCAGCACTGTGTCATAATTGAACTTTAGATATCATTAGAGTTTCAATCTTTTAGGTAAGACTATCATCCGCTTTCCACTGTGCTATTTATTTCTGTTTATGTGTGTGTGAGCAGTGATGCTACAGCCAACAGTGAGGATGGTCAATATCTCTGGATCAATTTATGTCCTATTTTCATCTCTTGTGATGTGTGTGGACAGATATTTTCATATTTAGCTAAATTGTTGGTGCGATAGAGATGGTTTCTGCTCTCTGTGAGATGTGAAAAAACAGCACACTCCTGGGCACACATAGATGACAGAAAGCTGCCCCACAGCCTGCTCAGGCTACAGATATTGTTCAAGCTTCTGTGGACCTCACTCAGCTCAGGGACGGCTTAGTGCTGTACATCACAGGAAGGCTAAAATTTTGTATTTTAAACTATTATTAGAGGTTGCTAAGGCAAATGGACACAGAAACCACCAGGAAATTTCTAGATCTGAGAAAACTGAATACATAGTTCTCTGAGGGAATCATGCGATCTCATGTCACTAAAACATCCTTCATGTTCTTCACTTTCTCTGGAATATTCTCTAAAATGCAGTCTCTGCTTCATTTCTTTTGGATTTTGTATCAAGTTCCTACCACTGATAATTAAGTGGCCACAAATCTACATTCAAATAAGATAATCAGATACCACCATCAAAGCTTCAATTGCATTGTATTCGTTTTCTCAGATTGTTCTTCCACAAAGAGTATTTTTTCTACAAAATTCTGATATGCATTCCTCTGCAAGTTCTTTCTGGTACTTCTTTATTCCTATTTTGTTTTCTGAGTCAAGATCATTATGTGTATTTTTATTATATATCTAACTTTTTCCCATAAATTTGGTGAGATTTCCTTTATTTAATGTTCTATGTAATAGGATATAGTACTCCTCACCACCTTTTTCATTCTTCTCCGAAAAAAGAAGAATTCTTTTCATTTATTTCACAATAAATGTTGTGTTTCCAAAAAGCCCTATCAGAGTCCTACATTGCTAACCCTTCTTTTAGCTGCTGATTCTTCCATCTGATAAATCCCTGCTCATCAATTCATGGAATAGACAAGTTAGTCAGCATCAGCAGCTGCCATTTTCCACTTAGATCTTCTGTGTGTCTTCTTGTGTAATTGTTCACATTTTATGCACAGCTGGTGTTAATTTGAGGACAGCTTTGTTGGAGGTATGATGGGGATAGAGAGTGTGTGCAACAGTAAATCCTAAAGATGGCCTCTTGACCATTCTGGATGAGTGGATCCTGAGCTTTCCATATTAGAATCTGTCTGGCCCTTCTCAACAGTTGCGGGTCATACCACAGGGAGAGTTCCTCATACAAAAGGCTTTGCTACGGATAACTTTGCCCTTGCAAGGGAACTAGGCAGGTTGGTATTTTCCCTGGCATAAATATAGATGTAGATGTACTGGAAAGGCGAATACATTACTAATTGGCAATTGTTTCTGGCTCTATGGAAAGTGGATTGGTTCTAGCTGAGCTTCATGAGTTTTCTCTTAGGCAGAGAGTAGTTGCTTGGTCCCAGCAGATCCCACTGTATTATGGAGATTTGTGTCTCTGGTCTCACCAGACACTGTTTTCCATAGGAACTGGGGAAGAGCAATCCTGCCTAGGTGGCTTAAGTTAGACCATCAGGTAACAAAGGAATGTCAGAGACAAGGAGCAGCAAAAAGGCCAGGCTGACATTGCCTGATATTGTCACCAACTGAGGTTGCTGCAGGCCTGAGGCAAGACAGACTTGTCTTTGGCAGGAGAGTACAGGAAGACTATAGAAATGCCCCTAAAAGTCACTCATCTCAGGCCCTTTCCCTGACCTTCTCCAATGTCAGCAATGAGTAAAGTTTATCAGGAAACCATAAATACCAGCTATGCACTCAACAGACAAAACAAAAAGGGAAGTGATGGAAATGCAGAAAGGGACACTGTCTGTGAGTGAGGGTGGGTGAAAGACAGAAACAGGACTGCAGCAGGAGCTTGGGCACCTAGAGGTGAGTGGCAGCCCTCAGCACTACACTTGCCTTCTAATATCCATGTTTATATTCTGAGGTCCTGAAGGAACAGTCATCAACATATGAAATTTTAGGAAACACAATTCAGCTCTCATAACAGCTCCCATCCTGTTCTAAGTCAAGTGTTCCCTGGTTCAAAAATCTTCATTCCCTTTACGCACTGCCCTTTAGCAAATCGAGTTGACTCCGTTTTCAACTCTCATCCCACATAGAACCACTTGCACAATCTTTACTACAAGGTCATAGTTCAGGCCATGATGCTCTCTCCTGAAGGACTTTAATATCCTCAGCTGCTCTTGGTAACATTCCTACACCAGCACATCCCGTATCTCTACCCCTCACATCAGTCAGGGTGATCATTGAAAAGTAGGAATTAGATCATAACACTTCTGTGCATCAAATGCTCTTAGGATTTTCTTCTGCACTTGTAATAAGATCCAAATTTCATGCCTCAGCTCTCTCACACCCACACATCTCCCTCTTGTTGAAGACTTGGAAGCTCTCTTATGGAACAGAAAGCAGAATCTTCCTCAACTTTCTCTGTTCATTGTGTAAACCAACCATCCTGATAATACAGTTGTGTGTGAGAATTCAGCATTCCTTTGACTTTTCTAAAAACTTTGGTTACACTAGTAGGATGGTCATCTTTATATTTTTATTTCATGTTGATGCTCTCTAATACATATGTTTCACAATTATTTGAGCGTATTTGTATTCTTTCCATTTATCCTAGCATAGGCTGATTATAATAGAAAACATTTCTTCAGCATTTACTATATGATATTCAATCTTCAGTACCATCATATTAGGGAGGTGTGATAATTATTATTATATAATTTTGTAGATGAGTTGAC